AGTTCTATGAGTATTGTTATTTTTGTCAGCAACGATATGGCTATTTATTCCAGATATATTCAAGGAAGTAAAAAATAATGTTAGAGGCCATCGGCAACTTTTTCGTGACACAGAGTAAGTTCCTTTTAGCTCATCAACGGTATCAACACCTCCCTTTGTTGCATTGTAAAATGTAATCATTGATGGCTTGTATGCATCGCCACTTTCTGGATCAATCTCGTCTTTGTAATGCATTGTTGACAATAATGTAACTATTTTGTTTTGCTTGGGCTTGTAGGATACCAAAGTCATGTCTTGGGTGAAACCAAAAATGCTCGAAGTAACTTTACGCTCCTTTAACTTTGCAGTAAAAATTTCAGGAATTTCTTTTTTATTTTTGCGAATTGTGCCCGTAACAGTTAGTTTGTGTTTTTTTAGTAAATCTAAGGCTAAAGGTATCGACGTAAATCAATTATCGAAAGTTACATTTCTTCCAGTTCCAGAAATTGGTTTAATTAATCGTTGTACGACTGAAGACGCGCTATTGTCAACTTTATAGGGCCCATCTGGTTGAGTCCCAACATACACCTCTAGATTGTAAGTGTAATATGACATGGAATCAACAAGCGCTAATATTTTGATTCCATACTTTGCTGGTTTATTCGGTATATATTGTCGAAATCTACATTTGCCGCGAAATGACTCAAGCATTTCATCAATTGTTACAAATTCACTAAGAGTATAATTGGCTTTGCATCGCTCAACAAATCCATCAAAAAATTCTCTTATAGGAGATAGCTTATCGTACTGTTTCCGTTCTTCTCTATCATCAAGATCGTCAAAGCGAAGCGCTCGCAACAAAAATTGAAATCGATTAATTCCCATTGTAAGACGAAAAATCTCTACGCCGGTTCCGTCTTGTGCCCACAGATCTCTCAAATGTAGGTGTGATGACCGCAAGACTCCAGCAAAATATAGAAGACCAATAAGTGCTTTAATTTCTTCCATATTTGTACTGGTAGCATCTCTTTCTCTACTGTACTTTGTCCGAAGCTTTAGAATATATTTGTTTGTGTGTTCAACTATTTCGCTGATGACGGAGTCTGGAAAAAATAATTGCCAAGCATCAATAATGGTTTTTGCTTCTCTGGCTTTTCCAATTACTCCAGAAGATTGAGTCACTATATTTCTGCTCAGGGTCTTTTTTTTTAAACAGCTACGGGAAATTTATTCCACAAAGTCTTTTTGTCCCTTCCCACAAAACACAGACGAGTATTTAGATCTTGCTGAGTTTCGTTAAAATCTTGTATCTCTTCTCCTTCTGATTGCTCTGAATTGGAGTCGTAATCATTGTTCTCCAAAACGTCATCTTGGTCTTCAGGTGGTCCACCTATCTCATCGTCGCTCTCAATTTCAGCCCACATGGCCAAAATACGCTTTGTTTCTCTCTCGTAAGAACACATAACCTTCAAATAAAAAAATACTATTACAAATCACCATACGTGTGACTATATTTTCCACTAAAATACTATACTTAAGAAATATTATTAAAAGAACCACACACAGGGTTCACTTACCGTATTATTAACTATAAAAAGCACACCAATATCTAAAACTGTGAAACTGCAACACAAATATCTTTGATACTTATGTACACGCGCGCGGTCAAAAGCACCGACTACACAAATATTAAACTATATCTCTCAAAGGCCAAATAAAAACTGAAATAATATAACGCCAGTCGCTAAAGGGAAAACCGCTTGGAGCATTCCAGGAAGGTCAGTACCACCACCACTATACAAGCGGCGTCATTTTAAAATTTATCACGGCTCGGTCCTTTCGACCGACACGCGTGTAGTCCCGGGCTAAATCTAAATATGTACATACATATAAGTATAATATAAAAAAAAGGCTTCGTAAGTGAATGGGATGTTTTCGGTCAATTTGGAAATAAAAAAGACAAGAGTTGTGCTACTTTATCTATTTATTGAAGACGTTTCGACCACTGTTCAATGAGCATCATCAGTTCATCTAAAAGAGTGTTATTAGCTATACATCTAATATGAGAAACAATTAAGTAAATAATCTTACCTTTAAAAGATCTGTAGCATTAACAATGGTATTTGGTATATATATTTTGATATATAATGGTTTTAATTTAACTCTTGACAACATTGACTTAACGGTCAATTAACATCCTCACAGATTCTCCTTCAATACTAGCAATGATGATTCTCGTTTTTAGCATTGACTGAATCCCATTGTATTGGTGAGACTTCAATTCTCCTCTTTACTAGTGTTCTTTTTATGTATTCAAATGAGGTATTATCGAGTGCTTCCTCTATGTCAATGAAAGCGCAAAGAGCTATTTCTTTTGCCACTATTGTCTTTTCAATTCTTTGGACTAGCAAATTCAGAGCATTTATAGTGGATTTGCCCGTCTGGTAGGCAAACTGATGTTGGTGAAGTGGTTTCCTTACTAAAGTTTCGCTTCTTATGTAGTAATCTACTAGTTCCTCCATTGTTTTTAGGAGAAAGGAGGTCAAGCATATAGGACGATAAGACTTCGCTTCCTCCGTAAGAAATTTCCCCGCCTTTGGTATAAATACCATCTTTGCGTCCCTTCAAGTTTTTGGAATGTGACCTAACACAAGGCTTGCTATGAAAAGCCGCTGTAGTTGCGGCTGTATTTGCATGAAGCCTTTTTGGAGAAAAGCAGGAAATATTCCGTCCTTACTAGGGGATTTAAAAGGTTTAAAGCTTTTTACGGCCCATTCGATTTTATTTTGTGTAAAGATTTTTCCCGCTTCTTGACTGCTGGATCTGTTAAGGCCCTTGGAGCTTTTGCCGGCTCCATACTTTGCGGGTCATCTACTTGTATTTGTTGAGAGCCAGGAAAATGGGTCTTCAACAGCTCTCTAATAGTTTCCGTTAGACTCTCAGTATAGTCACCATTCGGCCTTTTTGATCAGTCCGATTTCATTTATGTGATCTTTTGAGAGAACCTTTTGGAGTCGTTGTGCAGGGACTAATTCTGTTATCCCTTCGCACATGAGTTTCTCTTTGATTTTCTTAGTTCTTTGTTGTACTCAGTAAGGGAATTTCTGTAGGAGTCCCACCTACCTGTAGATTTTGCCGTATTGAAGAATTGTCTGACGTTTTTTCTAAGTTTAGTTAATAGGGACAACTTGATTTATAGGCCTTTATTATGGCATTTTGAAGTTGTCATGAGGCTCGGTCTAGATTTTCCTAGATGTGTCCCAATGGTCTGTTTTGGGACTCGATATTCCTCAAGGCGCTCCTTAGATGCACCCAAGTCGAACCTTATGTGTTGATGGTCCGACATTGAGGCTTCATTCGAGACATGCCAATTGTATATTTTATTTGCTATAAACGAACTAGTTAGGGTTATATCAAGAACCTGTTTCCTAATTGCGTTTATAAATGTGGGTTTGTTACCTCTGTTTGCAATATCTAAGTTATTAGCAGATATATAGTCCAAGAGGTGCTCACCCCTGTTATTGATTCCTGTGCTACTTCATACTGTGTGGTGTGCATTTGCATCGCAGCCAATAATTAATGGTCTGTTCTTGCTCTTGCACCATCCCATAAGTCTTTGAACTTCCTCTGGAGGTGGATGGTTTTCAGAGTCACCCGGAAAATAGGCCGAAGCAGTAACAATTTGCCTCTTGCCTACTTCTGTTGGCATTTCCACTATTGCGGTTACCAAATCTGCCGTGGTAAATTCTGAAACAGGATATTTAATATTATGTGAGAGCAGTAATGTTGTTCTTGAATTGTCAGTATTAATATTATAGAGTAACCTACCTGATAGTCCTTGTATTCGTCCTCCATTAATCCAAGGCTCCTGTAGGAGGCTAATGGCTAGGCTGTCGTCAATAAACCTTTTTCTAAGCACACTTGTAGCTGCTTTTGAATGTTAAAGCTTTATCTGCAAATATTTCAGCCTTTGAATCATTTTTTTAGATTGGTTTGGGGATTTTTTAATTTCCACTTGCCTTTATTGACTGGTTTCCTAGATTTTTTTGGCCACTAGCTGATTCCTTGGAGTCAGGCCTTTGCTTGATTGTCCTCCTGGATTGATCTTGAGCACTTTTTTGCTCATTTGGGGCCTTAGACCGCGTAAAAGGTTTTTGAGACCCGCTAGCTGATTTCTTGAAGTCAGGCTTTTGCTTGCCTGTTCTCCTGGATTCATCTTGAAAACTTTTTTGCTCATCCGGTGCCTTAGACACCGTAGCGGGCTTTTGAAACCCGCTTGTTGTGGGTTGATTTCTACCACTCTTGTCTCTTAGGACCGTACAACCATATCTGTAATTGATTGTATGCCCCGTTGATTTTACCTTGGATTGATTTAGCCAGCGGATTGGCTCCCATGGCTGTATCTCTCCAATGTGTGTCTTTAGCCACTGCAAGGTGGCTTTGTGGGCGCACACCAAAGCTAGTCAGCCAGGTCTGTTTTGAGCTCTCAGAAAGTTAGGCTTTTCTAGTTAGTCTAAGCTCGTCGTCACTAGTTAGGTCTAGCTCCTCCTTAGTTTTTTCAGGCTTATTTTCGGCCTGTACATGAGGCTCGCTAACCTCCATTTCAGTGTCCGATCTTTGGGAGTCGGATATCCCTTCTTTTTCTTTAATATAGGGTTCCATACAAATTCCCACGAGAAGCTAGAGAAATAAATGTCACCTGCAGCAGAGCCCCGCATGCCACAGTAAGGCTAGTAAAACTGAGGTTCGCCAGGTGCCCAGATTTCGCATAATAGTAGTTAGATACCCCCTAACCAGTGGCGCACTCAGAATTTGCCTGTGGGGGGGGGGTTTTGGTTGGGCAATGATTTTTTTTGTGTTGATTTCTTAAAATTTGGGTTTTAGTTACTAATGTATCAATGCTAAAGATAGCAGTGTCAAAGATTCAGGTATCTACATCTAAATACATTATATAATCAGAAATATCAATTTAAATCCTAAACTTGTTAAATGTTAAATAATAAACTGTAAACAATTTAAATTTATAATAAAATGTCCAAACGGCGTTGCTTTTTAGCCAAATGGTTTAATACTTCTTCTTCATCTATTTGAATATCCTGATGGATAAACATCAAAGCTAAACCATTTAGTCTCTCTTCGCTAGTACAATTTCTTAAATACGTCTTTAGTATTTTTAGCGATGAAAATGACCTTTCACATGTGCAGGTTGTTACAGGTAAGGTCGCCATTATTAGGAGTAAATTATAAACAAGAGGGAATAAGTTCTTATTACATGTATCAAGAGCTTCAAGAGCATTTTTTGGCGTCGGTTTATGTTGCAAATCTTTTAGAAACTGTTTCCAAAGTATGATTTCTCCTTTTATGTTTGTGTCATCAAGTCCGTAAAAATGTACTAGATTTTGAAATGATTTGCCTATCGTCTTATCATACTGTGCACTTAGTAAGTCCTGAAATGGTTTTAAAATCTCTTTGTGTGCAACAAACCTATCATTTATGGATTGTATAATTTCATCAAAAAAGGGGATAAAAACAGATCTTCTGTAATATTCTTCTGGCGTGGAAGCTGGTACATTATTTCTCTTTGTTTTATAAATTACTGTCCTTGGAAGAGACATATTAACACCAAATTCATCGCAAAGTGCTGATACTTGCCCAAAAATATTGGTAAAAGTTTCATCTGCGTTTTGTCTTAACTGTTCTAGTGATTCTTTCGTTTTGTCTGCAGATTCAACAGCTAAACGGAGGTCTAGATTTTCTGTTTGAAGGTACTTACTAAGCGGTAAAGTGAGTTCAAACACCGAGTTAACCACGAAAAGACTCAAAAGAAAGTCACATTTGCAAATTGCAGCCGAGAGCAACTGAGCATCAGTAGCAGTTTTGTTATCACTCCAGTTTGTAATAACATCTAGTGCTTTAATAATGACAGGAAGTAAGGAAATAAATGCATTAACTGAGTCATGTCTTGAATCCATCTTGTTGCACACAATCTTTTTAATTTTTCCACTTTCGGCTTCTGCTCTAACTGATCAATTTGATTTTCTAAAACATTTTGCCGCTTGGGATAGTTGAAAAAATTATAAGTGGCTTCTACGGTTCCCATACAATTTCGAATTTCTGGTACAGAACATCCTTGAGAAATCGCAAGATTAAAACTATGAGAACAACAATGCACGTAGATAGCTTTGGGAAATTCTTTTCGAACAACAGATTGTACGCCTTTAATATGACCACTCATGGAACTGGCTCCATCATATCCTTGCCCAACTATATTGTTACCATTCAAACCTAAATGTTGTATAAACGAGCAAATAGTATGAGCTAGTCCAGTTCCGGTGGTTTCAGTTACCGGAATAAATTGTAAAAATTCTTCATGAATTTTATTATTCTCTACAAATCTAGCACAAAATGATAGCTGAATTGTATCACTAATATCGGTGGTTTCATCACACAGAATACTAAAAAATTTTGCTTCATTTACTCGTTTTACCAAATTTTCTAAAATGATGGTGTTAAATATAAAAATTATTTCATTTTGAATTCGCCAACTGATGTAAGTGGCACTTTGTCTGGCAGTTTTTAAATGATTGGTCAAAATATCATCTCCAGAATCCATTCTAAATTTTAAAAGAGACCTGAAGTTTCCTTCTCCTCTTTGTAGTGGGGCGTTAAAATCGAAAGGACCAAAATCGCGATGACCTCTAAAAGATTGCACCATTTTAGCAAGAAAAATAGCCGTCTTAATAATAGGTTTGAGGGATTCTCTATTTTTTTCTATTTGAAATTTTCTTCCTTTATTAAGCATTAATTGAATATTGTCCTTTTCCCCAGAATATGTTGCTAGAAAATTAGCCGCTTTCTCTAAACACTTTTTATGATAGCTGTTTTCTGAATGTTTTTTAAAATCTTCCCTTGCATCCTTCCATTTTCTAAATGGAATTTTAACTAGTTTTCCTGCGCTCGATCCTTTCTCTCCTACAACAGTGGAAAATAACGCACAAAACTTGCAGAACGCAGCATCCATTGCTGGGGAATATACCAGCCAATTCCAGTCAGATAACCAACGCATTTGAAATTTTAAGTTTCTGGGACCGGAAGATGGAAATTTAAATTTAAAATCTGGAGACCAAGGATTTTCTAAAAGCTTTTTTTTAGTCGCATCGTCTACCTGTAAAAAAATTCAGTTTTCACAAAATATTTAACAATTATAATTTTAGTAATTTTATTTAATTATATTTAATTTTATTGAGTTTTATTTAATTTTATGTAATTTATTTTATTATGGGAATAAGCCACATTTACAGGTTAAAATTACAGGCCACATTCAGTAAAAACCAAATTCTGATTTTATATGTTTATTATTTAAAAAACATAAATGATGTATCCTCTATATGTTACCGACTTACTAATACTGGTATTTTCTTTTTAATAACTTCCTCTTTCAATATGGGTAACCAGATCCTACTACATTCTGCCGAGAAATTTGCGACACACTTCGTCTCATTTAGCATAATTAGAGCCGCTTCTTTGATTTTTCTTTTTTTACCATCCGTTTCTTTTGGGACTACATTTGAAAGTGTGTTTACATATTTGAGATCTAACAAATTCTCTATTTTTAATATAAGATTAATGTTCACTTATTCTAACATTTAATGGCCTTGATGTTTCACCTAAATAAAACTGAACGCATTCACAAGGTATTTTATAAATGCAATTCTTTGTCCTTTCTTGTTCATTGTTAGGTTTGATTTTGGACAAAATAGATCTCAACGTGTTTATTGTATTGAATGTTGTTGAAATGTTGAATTTATTTCCTATCTTTTTAAGTTTTTCTGATAATCCTTTATGTACGGTATTGTTATTTTCCTCGTATTATTCCTTGTGTATGCTATAGGATCTCGTTCAAAAATGTTCTGTTCTATTCGATCGATTGTTGAAAATTCCTTATATATAAACAATAAAGGATAATCATTTTTTAATAAAACAGATATTAACAAATGTTTCTCCTCCAAGATAATTTTTATAAATAAGGTGAAACATCAAGGCCATTAAATGTTAGAATAAGTGAACATCAATCTTATATTAAAAATAGAGAATTTGATAGATCTCAAGTATGTAGACACGTATGGGATAATAAACATAGGGTTCAATGGAATAATTCAAATGTAGTCCTAAAAGAAACGGATGGTAAAAAAGAAAAATCAAAGAAATGGCTCTAATTAAGACCAATTGTGTCGCAAATTCCCCGGCAGAATGTAGTAGGATCTGGTTACCCATATTGAAAGAGGAAGTTAATAAAAAGAAAATACCAGTATTAGTAAGTTAGTAAAATATAGAGGATACATCATTTACGTTTTTTAAATAACAAACATATAAAATCAGAATTTGGTGTTTACCGAAGGTAAACTAAATGCACGACCAAATACTTACCATGTCGGGATAGTATTATGAGGTTTTTTTCTGGGTTTAACCTTATAATTTAGTATGGAATCACTAACAGGAGAATTTTACGGTCATCATGGCATGTGTTTGTCTTTTTAAAGACGAATTACATGCTATGATTTTTTCTGACGCATATTATGATCAAGTTAAAGTTGATTTCATGTAATCGAATGAACTATCTTATAAGGAAAGTCGTCCTACGAGCGCAACTCAATCATTTTAAAGTCGTCTACTTTAAAATAAACTGCGCTCCAAAATTAACGCATAATTTGAAAATTCTTATTTTGAGTAGTAATGAAAAAATTTTTGTTTGTTCTTTTCTGCTTTATGGTTGTTTTAGAACATCTTAAATCAAAAACTTTTCTTTTTTTTACAAAAAATGTATTGAAATTAACAATATAACATCATAAATTTAAACAAACAACTGGTCTAAACAACTGTACTAGTATCGAATATTACCTCCTCTGGCATTTATTACTGCTGGACAACGATCACTCATACTGAGAATAATCGTTCTAATTTCTTCTTGATCAATTTGATTTCAAATTTAAACCAACCGCAAAAACAGTTCATCTAATGTGTTTGGTGCATTAGGTAGTTGTCGTAGTCGTCTGCCTATGATGTTGCAAATATGTTCTATTGGGTTAAGGTCAGGACTTCTCGCAGGCCAATCCATGCCAGAAATTACAACCTCCTGACGATACTGCTGCACAATTCTTGCATAATAATCATTATCTTGCATAAGCATGAAATTATCCCCACTAAATAGTGCAAATGGCACGACATGCTCTTCTAAAATGTCTGTTATATACCTCTGCGATGTAAACCGACCGCGATCTATTCTAACTAATTCCGTACGAACATCTAAATTAATCCCACCCTACACCATTACCGAGCCGATGCCATACTATTCAGTCCCTACGGACCCTACGGTGTTAAACTGTGCGTAGCGTTCCCCAGGCCTTCTATACACTCGGTTTCTCCTATCATCAGAAAAAAATACAGTACCTGGATTCATCGGTGAACAATATTCTTCCCCAATCGTCATTATTCCCATCAACATGTTCACTAGCAAAATGAAATCTTTGCCTTCGATGGTCTTTGGTTAATAATGGGCCAATTGGTGCCCTTCCAGGGTGTAGGTCGTTTTCGGCAAGTCTTCTTCTAATCGTATCTTGCTTAATTCTAAAGTTATACCGATCCAAAAATTCATTTTGTAGAGAAGTACTGGTAACAAACCTTCGTCTCACTGTACGAAGTGTCAAAAACTGGTCTTGATTAGGAGTTTTAACCCTTCTAGGGCCTTGACCGGGTCTTCTCGAGTTACTTCCAGTAACAGAAAAACGTGTTAACACTCTTGAAATGGTTAACTGGGTGACGTTAAAACGTTCAGCGAGTTCTACTTGAGTGTATCCTTCTTCGCGAAGAGTAACGATTCTAATTCTGACAAATTTCGATTTTCTTGCTGCTGGTGGTTCTTTTCAAAGAAAAAACACTTCGCAAAATCAAAAACCCCTTTAAACGTTCAGCACAACCTAATCCAACCCAACTAAATTCGAAGTAAAATGAAGCACAATTAGCATGTTTTTAATTTTTTTTTAGAAAAAAATGGTAAAAACATCAGCGTTTTTTACCGTTCTTTCGATAAATTTTACAATATACCGGGGGTAACAATAATATATTAGCACAAAAATCGAAACATTTAAATTATTTGATTTACCAGGGTTTTTAAAATTATGCGTTAATTTTGGGATGCAGTGTATATAATGTATGTCTGAATTGTCAATTTAAATGAGTCAGATAAAATTAAATTATTAGAAGAATTTTTCACTAAGTAACAACAAAACAAAATTTGTTTAATTTACTGTTTGTATTTTGAGAACGATTTTCGAAGTGGAAATTGAAATGTCAATAAACGTACTTTAACATTTAATTGTGGCTTATTCCCATTTAAATAGTAAATTATTTTATTTTATTTCATACAAATATTTTAAAATCAAAATTAGCTAAGTCGTTTTAGAGTTGTTATAAACAAATGTATTATATAAAATTATAATAAAAGTGTATATGTATGTATATTATGTATATTACGGTATACCGCAGGGTTACTACACTCGTCCCGATTTTTCGAGTCACGCCAAACAGGATTTTGGGTCCGTGCAAAACATTATATGGAGCAATAAGAATATAGGTACACTTCAAAAACTTGTATGTCGAGACCGTCACGCAAATACGTTAACCGTTAACATCTATATTGCCTTAAGTATACTTACTGATTTACAAAAATATAAACCAAAATCAAGTTCTGCCTTATGCTGATTGTACACCACTTAACTGCTTGAAGTAGAAGCTACTGCTTTACTGTCAGTAGGGGGTTTTGGCTTCTCTTGCTCCTGCCGCTATTAAAACACAAGAAATATAATTGATAAGTATCCCTGGTTGGTGACAATGGCAAAATATCCAAAAATATAAGTATAAAGTATAAGTAGTTAGAAAGTACGACGCCATAAATTTAATATTTACTAAAAAATATCATTTTAAAAGATATTTTTATTATCAAAATCAATTTTTAATAATACTGCCATAAGGAGATATTTGTCTCAGTGTAAAAACGTTCAGAAAGATAAATATAAAACAATAATTATATATATGGATATATATATATTATATATATATATATATATATTAATATATATATATATATATATATATATATATATAATAAATTACAGAATGTATGAGTTACGGATTAAACTTACCTTGCTTTCTAATTCAGGATTTAATCTTGGCTGTTTTATAACAAATTTATCCATGATTAATAGTAAACCACACAAAGTTATACTAACTGATGTAAAGTCACCAATTTCACAAATTATGCAAACACACAAGTTCAATTAAGTCTACTGTAACATATAACTATATTTACACTTCTGCTTCTGCACCTGCACTAATATTTTTTTAGGGAAATTCAAAGAACATAAAATTAAATGAGAATTGGGTGATTCCCCGAAGTTTTTTCACTCAATTCACAAATGCATGCGTTACAGTTCTTTATTGCTGTCTAATTATTCTGCTGACAATATTGCCAAAGCTTATAATTTAAGCGTTCTTTCTGAAAATAATATAAAAGTACACAATAATAATTATTATTGTGTATTTATACATATAATAATTATTGTATTCTACATATTTAACGTGATAATTTAATTATTAACTTAGCATTTTGGATTTTTTGTATTGTGTGTGAAAAACAAGTTACATTTTTCTACTATTCTATGCCTATATATTTTTACTTTACATGCTCTGGGGGGGGGGGGGTTAACCCCCAAAACCCCCCCTGGGTGCGCCATAGCCCCTAACTATTCATTCTTCAGCTTATGCTGTTCCACCTTGAAATTGCGAGGATTTTTTATTGTGATTCCCTTCCACTTGGCCTGCTGATTAAGGCAAGCCCCCACATATATGTTCGTCTTATGACGTAATAGACACGGTTTATACCATGCAGATTTTTGTAAATGGCTGTCTCCTCCCGCAACGAAACATCAATCTGGACACTAATCCAGTCTTGAGATTCCATTGCAGGGGGCGAGCACCATCCTCCACGCTGTGATTCCTGTTATTGTTAAGTTGGGTAGACTGCTTCTTGGTCGCTGAAGCAGTTCATCTATACTTAGTCTTTCGACTATCTGGAAGAGATTCTTCTCTAGCGAGGTCCTTTCACATCCATTTATACTTCCCGTTCGCCAGGCCTAGCCCGTTTATAGGGGGTACCTTCAATTAACGGAGAGCTCTTTATTAGGGAGATCCCATTCATTCACACACACATACTTGTTCCATTTCCTGCGCCAGACTACTGTCTCCGGAGGCGTGTCAGGTAGAAGCTGACAGCCGTGCCGAACGCATTTAGAAATTCGGAGAAATACTTGGAAATTCCAAGTTTGGGCAAATCCGAATTTCTAATTGACTCGATGCAGGGAAATTCCACTTTTGCTACGTAAAACAAAGGATTTGTTTTATATAAAAGCAGATGGAATTTCTCTCATCGGTCAGTCGAGCTTGCCTCTTCTACTGTAGACCTAGTCGGTGCTATTATTGTTCCAACTAAGTTATTGTTTTATTTCTGATTTCCTATATACCATTTTTATTTTAGCATTATTGTATATTCAGACCTTTTCAGGTTAGAATATTACACATTGTTCATGTACTTATTGTTTGATATTTTATTTGATTATTTTGATTGATTATTTTCTTGTATTTGTATCTAAGCTCTTCTTTCCGGTAAGTCAAAGAACTCTTAGAAATATTGCTTTGCTATTTTATGCGACTTGTTAATTTGTGTATGTCTAAGTCGTTCTTTTCCGGTGAGTCAAAAGAACACTTAGAAGTATTTTCGTATTTGCATTATTATTTCTGATACTTTTATCTAAGATATTATTTCATATTATTGACTATTTTATTTTCTATTTTTGGTTAAGTTGTTTCTTCCGTAAGTCAAGAAACACTTAGCAATATTTTCACATCTTTTCTGTATTTGATTTTCTTGTTTCTATTATAAGTTGTTCTTCCGTAAGTTAAGAAACACTTATAAATATTTGTACATCTATTTTACCATATTCTCTTGTTTATTTTCTGCTCTAAGTTGTTTCTTCCGTAAGTCAAGAAACACTTAGACATATTTCTATAATCTATTTCCCTTTTGCATTTCTTGTTTTTATACTTTGAATGTTTTATTTTCTAAGCCGTTTCTTCCGTAAGTCAAGAAACACTTAGAAATATTTCCATATTTTATTTTCACATTTGCATATTTTCACTTTCTTTTATATTTCTGTCCTAAGTCAAGAAACACTTAGGAGCATTTACCTTGTATTATATTTTTATACCGTTTGATTTATTTTGATTTACTAAGCTATTCCTTCCGTAAGTCAAGGAATACTTAGATTATTGTACCTGTTCTGTTTTCTATTTTTGATCCGTTATTTCGTAACCTTTCCTTGGAACTGTTACCTATAACCGATACTTGTCACGGTAACTGTTACTTTATACCAGTAGCGATTATTAACCCTTTCGATAGCGACAAACAAAGATGGTCAACACCCAATCAAATTCTGGGGACAGAAAGAAGTCCGAAGAGCCGGCGATGGGTCCCACAGGCCCAAATGCCCCCTCTCGGCAACACTACAGCCCTACCTGAACAGTCAGATTAAGCCCCCGAACCCACGTCAAGGTCTTGCAGCCACTATCGGAGGCTCTAAAAGCATGCTTTAAGACTTCTTATAAGTCCGCGGTCCATGGGCTGTAGTACGGACGTACAATTTGGAGGCAGAAAAACGAGTTTAATTTGTTTTAACCTGTCAAGTGGGGGGGGGGGGTGGGACGGAGAGTTGTCGACAATTAAAATTATGGGTTTCTTTTGTTGCTAAAGTTCACTGTTCCATTTTATTAAAGTATTTTCAAAAATAGCCGACGTCATCCAGGCTTTTGTATTGAAATCGTAATCAACAGGGAGATTTTTCACGTTTTTTTACTTTTTCCTATCACCAAAAGCTTCCTTTTTAGAAAGCAAACAACGTTTGCTTCAACAACAACAAAAGTTTTGGCTGCAACAAAAACGGTAACTCGCTCTTTTGAGAGTTTACCACCGGAACATTTCTCCCCTTTAAATTTTAACATGTGATCAGGTGTCAGTCTAAAAAATAATCCCATCTCGTCAGCATTAAAAATTTCATCATCGCTATAGCCGGACCTGAGTGTAGGCCACACATTTTCAACCCAGTCATTTGTAATTGATCTGTCAACAACTGCTGACTCACCTGAAATTTTTCCACGGACAATATTGTGGCGAGCACGTTGTTGTTTGAACCAATCTAGCAAAGCACCTTCAATGTCACTGTGTTTTTAATAACTTGACGCGTTTTCCTTTTTCACACTTATTAAATTGCATAATAATTTTCTCTCGCCGTTTCATCATTCCAGCAATTGTTGAGCGTGACGTTTTAAATTCCCTGGCAATCGAACTCGCGGAATCACCGGAATCGACTCGGCAAATTATTCCAAACTGTTCCTCCATAGTAAATTGTTTTCGTGACATGTTTTCTATAAAGGCTAGACACAACTGAATCCAAATTCAGAAACTCTTGGCTTAGGCCAAATGGTGTAATATAAACAAAATTTTGTAATACAATGGACCCGTCTTGGGAGCTCTAAATGTCTAAAGGACAAGTAATCAAGTGTAGATGCCTGCCCGAATGTACTATAACCATAAATTAATAAATCCTTACTTCTCATTTCGTGGTACTAAATATCGGTAATACCTGTGAGAAATACAACACTACAATGTCCATTTTCATAACTTTACAGGATAGCACTTTTAAACTTATTTATTAAGATGTGGAAACAATATTATATTGAACATTGTATCTACTGTCATTTACATCATGCGTTGGTTATAATTATTTATTATTTGTTTATTATACAGTGTGTAAAAATGTCAATTGAAAAAATGGATGTTGTATCATCTCAAGTACATATATGTACTTTAAATTGTACGCTGTAACCAATATTTTAACTACTAATGTTCCAAGAAATACGTTTGCTCTAACCGATTTGTTCATTATAAGCAATATAAATGCGTTTTTTGTATGTAATTTTGTGGGACCTACTATTTTGTTTGTTATATCCGATTGTATGTTATAGTCGGTGTCATTGAAAACGATTTTTACTGTATATATATATATATATATATATATATATATATATATATATATATATATATATATATATATATATATATATATAGAGCTGACTATTGGTCGTAATGGTAACTCTGCCTTATGTACTTTGGGTAAACCATAAAGTGTTGGACATCTTGACGACTTTTCTCGTGGAATAAGCTGGAACTGCTGTTCTTTCTTGATCTTTGACGCTTGTATTTTGCCTTTAGTTGTTTTCTCCAGATATGTTGTTGGGTCTGTTGCGATTTTTTAATATGCACTATCGTTTAGTATATTCTGTATTTTTGTGTCGTATAGTCTTCAATATTCATTATGACAGTAGCGTTGCCCTTGTCAGCTGGAAGTACGATGATGTCTTTGTTTTGTTGTATATTCTTCAAGGCTTTCTTTCTTCGTAAGTTAAATCTTTTTCGGAGGCTTGGCTGTTCTTGATATTTGTGCTACATCTTGTCGAATAATTTCGGCTGTTTCTGATGGTAACTTAGTGATAGTTGTTTCCACTTTGCTAATGATGTTTTCGACGGGAATCCGTGTCGGTGCAATAGCAAAATTGAACCCTTTGTAAAGGACACTATTTGTAGCTTCATCCAAAGTAATATTTAAGAAATTGTAGACTGGATTCTGTTGTTGGCAGTTCCTTATTCTTTGGTCGTTGGTGTAGTATCAATTTCTCAAACTTTTTGATTTGTTTTTTCTTGGTGAGATCAGCATCTGTCTCCGATCGAAAGTTTGTGAGCTTGCCAAAGATGTTCCACAGAGTCGGATGTATTTTGTTACTTAGTGTGAGATATAGCTTTAGTAAATCTGAATTTACTTTATCGATGTCTCGTCTGGAGTCTTGAATTGCTTCTCTAGTAAGTGCTAGACTTGCCCTTTTTAAAATATTCTTAGTTTTATGGTTGTTTCTGTGGAAACTTAACTTCATACAAGTGGGTATTATGCTTTCGTCGCGACAGCATTCTAAAAAAGTAAGGGAACAAAGTAGCTTACCTCGTTTTGACCGAAGTTTTTCATATCGTCTAAGGTCTGGTAGAATTTCTTCCCCGTATAGGTTAATTATATTGGATTTGAAATTTCCGCGG